CAAAGCACAGACTCTTCTAGAGGTTTAAGTCACATCCCAGCAGCCACTCTTAGAAATGCCTGAAAGAGACACAGAATACTGCTGTGAAACTCACAACTTAATTTCATCTGTTTAAATATACACATGTATGAACAAACAGCACCACACTGTGTGTATTATGTGAAACTCACACACAGAAGAGGAGGGATGTTCATGATGTGGATAAAGAGAACAGGAAAAGCTGCCAGCATCTCTGCTGACCGACACAAACATGTTGGTGGATTTTGTATATATTAAATACTGTCTATTCTTCATCCAGTAATAGTAAACCCCAGAGGTCAAATCACAGGAAGAATCACAGATCAGTTCTACTGTCTCCTCTCTCGGGTCTGTAGACGCAGGATTCATCCTCACCTGCAAGACTGAATACAGCAAAAATTAAGAAAACTTCATCACATATCAAATGAAAACAGCTGAAGTGACCAGAATCTCGACTCAGTTTCACCTGTGACTGTTAGACTGACGGCCGCTGAGCTGAGATGTTTAACTCCATCATTCATGATGAACATTAGCTGATATTCTCCAGAGTCTCTCTCTCTCACGTCTGATATTGTGAGTTCTGATTGGTAATTACTGCTGATCTGTTTCACCCGTCCTGAGTAGTCTGAGTCTAAAGCCAAATCTTCAGGTTCTTTGTTTTTTCTCCAGTTTGTACTTTGTTTCTCACTGAACCAGAACACAGTGTTGATTTTGATGCTGAAGTAAAAGCACTTCAGTGTCACTTCTGTCCCCTTCACAGCACAAATACTCTGTTGACTACAGGTCACAGCGAGGCGGTCTAATGTTACAGGGCCTGAACAAGAAAATATTATTGAGATGAAATAATAGCAAATATTACTAAAATAATAGTGCATCCAGACTGATGAATCTGCTTCTGAAATATATGTATACGACCAATCCATTTTAATGAATAAAAATAAAGTCCTGTGAGTTAATTTAGACCAAAATTCAGACTGACGTTCAGCCCTACTGGACATTTAGTAAAACTGATCTTAAATGATTTCAACTGTTTGAAAATACAGAGCAATAATGATCAAAATAAATCAAAATAAACACTCTCAGAACATTTCAAAGATAATTGGAGACACATTTAAACGAAAACCTTACAGAGGAGAAAAACACACAGTAATGCTCAAACCTGGAAGGAGCAGCAGCAGGATCAGCGGTGAGAGTCTGGAGTTCATAATCTTCACTTTGTGTAAATTCACATAAACTATGAAAGACACAGAGCTGCTCGTCCTGAAAAAGGAAACTCAATGAGTTTCACAGTGACTTGAAGGGTCATTGCAGTTTAGAAGATTCATCAGTCTGTTATCTTAGTTCATGCTACCCCATTAAAATCATGAAAACAGTAACAGTTTACTTAAGATGACATTTTAAATGCGATCAAATATTAGCTTTGCCTACATTACATGTTGCTGTTCTCTGATGTTAGTTGCTGTTTCTACTGTCTGTTGTATAAGTAGTTGCAGACTTTCTGCTGACTTTACTTCCTTCCTGTTTCTTACTGACACACTAGGGCAAAAAAAAGTTATTTATATTATTTATTTTTTTTTGTCAGAGAAAGGAGATGCTTACTCTTCAGAAAACGTTTACGGTCAAACTGAACTCAGGACTTATGAGCTGAGCTTATTAATTAAACCTTGAGATATTTTGTTATTTTCTATTAGTAATGTGTTATTTTCTATAAGTAATTTCAAATCAAAATCTAAATAGACATTTTCAGCAGATTTTCGTTTTTGGGTGAACTGTTGCTTTAAGCGTTGGCTTCTGAGCAGTGGGCAGTATGTTTATATGCGGTGGGAAATTTGCCAGAAGTGAAGGTTGTGCTGATGATGTAAGCAGCATAAACTGAAGGCAAATATTATGTTTGATCATTTTTCCCACAAAAACTTTGGTAACTGGGAATCATAAGCTGAAGGAAACAAACACACATATATTAATTTACTTTAAACTGCACCATAAGATATTTATTTTTATAGGCACAGGATTATGGGATAGCCTATCACAGGCAGCAACAGACACATCTTCAATAACCAACAAGATAAATCTTAGAAGGCAGGATGTTTCATTATGTTGTTTTTCTCTGACCTACAGTAAATAACAAACATCAAATGGTCCTAAAAATTTATTAAATTTAACCCTTGTGTGGTGTTCATACTTTTGTTATTCAGCCAGTGTTCATGGGTCTGGTGGACCTGCTGCATTTTTGGGTTTTAATTCAACAATACTCAACAGATGTTTACTTCATCCCAATTACAAGCAATATAAAAAGCATGCATGGATAATATTTG